TTCTACTGTAGTAATCACAGTGCAGTAGGTAAGTGTATCAAACCAACATATTGTGATACATTGTGATACAAGCTTATACAATATTATATGTCAATTATTTCTCAATTAAAAATTCAATGTATTATTATTTGAGGGTGGAAAATGGGGGCAAACAGTAAGAATATTATATAAAGAATCTATTTAGATAATAGCTTCAGAAAACTGCGCTGAAAGGGGGATTAGATTTGGTGATATTTAATCAGATATCCTGTACTGTCATTTTTTTCTCATCATCCTAAAAAGGAGGGAGAGGCAGGAAATACACTCTAATTTGAAGGGTCAATGATTTCCTTATATTTCATGAAATGCCAAGTTACTATATAAAGCTGAATATATTTGATACTCTAAAAACTGAACTATCTGGGAAGAGTCAGCTTCAAACACCAGCTGTCAGTTAGCCTGTCAAGATTAAAAGAAAGACTGCTTTCCTTACGTCTTTTGAAAGAAGGTGGAAGAAAAACACTTTTGGAGGACTACCTGACTCACGAGTCAAAAAGAAATAGAAAGAAACTTCTATTAAGGTCAATGGCAAAAATGTTGGTTTTAGCAAAGAAGCATCTCAACTGAGGGAAAACAAAGGTGGTTAGAAAGGCAATAAAGAACCAACAGCTAGTTAACCCTCTCTTAAGAATCCCGTAAGTCATCTAGTTAACTGAATGTATTGAGAAGCAACTACAGGTGGATGGACATGAACGGAGGGTAACATTATTAAGTGAATATTTACTGTGTATCAGAGTGCTAAGCGCTTTATATTCATAATCGCATTTAATTCTTAAAATAAACCTGGGAGATAGGTATTGTTAGCTTCACTTTACAGAGAAAGAAACTAAGACATGCATTGGTAAAGTAATGTGAAGAAGGTTTTAACTAAAAAATCAAATATCTTAACTTCAGTGTTAAGCTGTCTCTGTATTGCTTCTTCTATAAATAAATACAGTGCTGAATTTTCCACATCTGGGTAACTTCTTTCATATAAGCACAAAAGTGATTAAAGTCTTATATCCAGGTCTTAGCTCCCATCTGTATGCAACTTCAGAGATCAAGTGAATGACTTCAGTCACCAAATGAGTTTCATTTTGTTCCATATTCATGAACACTAATCTGATCCAGGACCTGCCCTCTGAAAAAACAAAAGAAAATAAAACGAAAACTGCCCCTGATCACAGGGAAGACTTTTACTGAATACAAACAACTCGAAAGGCAATGTTCAAAATACTTTGCAAAGCTGTTTGGTAGCGACTACAAAGCCCTAACGTACTTATGCCCTAACGCAGAAATTTCACTCCGAGATGTGTACCCACTGAAGTGCATATACGTGTTTATGAAAAGGTAAGTTCAAGATTGTTTATAGCAACACTATTCATAACTGCCCTAATCTGAAAACTACCCAGATGCCCATCAACAATCGAATGAAAGAACAAATAAACTGCAGGGTCTTCACACAATGGAACAAACAAACAACGGCTACTTGCACTATATGGATGACTCACAGACATAATGATGAGTAAAAAAGCTATGAAAAGAGTTTATATTGTATGACTGTTTATTTATATAAAATTCAAAACCAAGTAGAACTAATCTATGGTGTTAAAAGTCAGGATAATGATTACTTTTCAGAGGAGCAGTGACTGAGGGGGCAGTGACGGGGAGGAGGGCTTACGAAATGCAGATAAAGTTCTGCTTTTTAAAAAGAATTTTGGGTACTTGCTACCTTAAGATGTTTGCTTTGTTAAAAAAGCATCATGTTTTACACTAATTTTTGTGCATTTCTTTTCATTCTGTTATACTTCAATAAAAAGTTCTTTAAAAACCAATGTTTTAATTGTGGTGCGTCAACAGCATGGAACTGACATTGTAATTAATACTTTTAGTCTTTTTTTTTCTTATCCCTCCATACAGACAGAGGTAGATAATAAAACATAGGAGGTTTTGTTCTTAAAAAGATTTTTTTATTCCAATTATTGGCTAAAAGTCAATCTACAGAGCTCCATTCATCTCAATATAAGAAAATGTACTTTCAACTCTAGTTTCAAATTCTATCACCATCCATTCTCACTAGACAAAGGGATTAACCCAAGTCACCAAATACTCAGCTTTAAGTAAACATTTTAAATAAAACTATCAACCACTAGGGAGTTTTGGATTCTGACTGCATTGCCAAAGTCTACTAAAATTCTTCCCTCTTCGGCTACTTAATTAACTTCATACTCTTAACATCAGGATGAATGAAGAAACCCTTAAAAGCATTCAGCTTAGGAAAACATGAAATAAGGATATGCTTTCTAAGAGCAACATCTCAAGCTCAATGCCTTTCTCACTCTGCAATAGGATCTTTGGGCAAAACATTCTGTAGACCAATACAATACATGAGGAACTTTGAAAAACCCGCATTTTTCCATCTAAGAATTTCCAAGCCTTCCAGAAGATTGTATCTAAACATTAATTCATAACCATCAATATTTAAATTGTTTTCTTAAAAGAGAGACAATATGACAAAAACAAATATCTATGGAGGATTCTATCTAAGACCATGTTACAATTTCTTCTTGTAGAACATTTTATCACATATGAAAAGAATAGCTTTGATATAAATATTTTATTAAGTACAAGAAGAAGGAGGGAAAAGAGAAAACACAGACAAGCAGGAAATAAAAGTTTATCTAAAAATTTCCTTTGCAAATTAATCCTCTGACAAAGATGAGTTAGTGGAAAGAACGAGTATCTTGAAGCATACTACAACAGGGTCACAATAAAGTTTATTTTAAAAAGCTACTTTACTCTGTTAAGGGAAGTTATCGTTTATTTCCCTGGTTACTATGATGCTATGATTGTAACCTGCTCTGTATTTTGGAAAGCTATGTAACTTCCTTAAACAGCTGCAAAGCACAGGTTTAAAGAAAGAAAAAGTAACATCAAGTAACATCTATGATGCTCTTACTAATTTAATGAACATTAAGATCTTCAAACACTGTGATTATGAATCAGAGTTGACAACTGATGAGAACTCTTACAAATTTTCTTTTCTTTTCCCTACCATAAATGTTGCTAACTTTCTTAGCAACAGATACCAGAAATTCAAGTATCTTCAAGATGAAATTTCCCGAGGAATTATGAATATGGGTTCCAGAAGACCCAGCAACAGTGCTCCAATGTCAGGTACGGCACCATTCAGGTAGACAATTTTACAAAGTCACCACCCCAGTGTTACTCTACCAAAAGTGATTGAAAAATCCAATTTAAATGGTATGATTAAGCATATTAATTTCCTTATATTCTACAGTGAACACTATTGGACCAATCTACTATGAAATTAGATAATTCAGCAAAAAACATGAAGCAATAAGAAGTATTTACAAGTTACTATATATAAAGATGAAATTCTTAAAATGTCATACCCCTATACTTTCCTATTTTTACAAATATCATGAAATACTAAACTCAGCTCAGTGTGCAATGAATAAGACCTATAAATATTTATTCACCAAAACTAATGTTTAGTATCACCTTGTTTTAAGGTTACAGAACTAACAGATATGAATTTGGTTTTCATTTTCAAAGAGTACTGAACTAAATTAGAGGAATCAGAACTGTTCACCGCACCAATTCAGACAATCAGGCAAAGTAGAGTTTTGAGTACAAATGCCCTAATTTGCTCTGTGTTTACTGTGATCACACCATTTTGATTGTGAATAAGGTTTTAGTTCCTAATTCTGTTTCTTCCTTTAGGTTTAATTTAAATAGGCATTTTAAGAACTGGTTGGTAAGTAAAACAAATAGGAGAATTAATATGTCATCAATCAGGTTCTTTGGCTGTTGTAATATTCGCAATTTAGGGACTTATTCTGTGACCCTCAGGAAGTTACTCAACCTTTCTTTATCAAAATATGTTACAAGTGTTCTAAAAGTTTACACGCTCACAAAACACCCTGCAATCCTCAAACACTGGGCAACTGCCACCTGGAACCTTTGAAGAGTGAAGCCCAGCTATGCTTGCAAATGAAACGGTTAGTGCTGCAGAAGGCTGCGAAGTAACAGTGATGCTTTACATAGTTTGTATGTTTTATCTTTTTATCTTTTAAATCTCATTTTTATAATTAAATTTCTAGTTCCTAAGGTGATAAAAGAGTTAGAGTCTTCTTTAAAGTAAGAGGAAATCTGTGTTAAAATAGAAATACAGTAATACAAAACTGTATAGATTATATTAGGCTTATACCTTTGAGTCTTACTCCAGCTTTTTACATTAAGACAGTTACATTTTTATATACATTTCTATTCCCAATAAAAAAAATTCTTCTCATCCAGCAACTTTCTTATTACTAAGACTATCAAACATTTTGAAGGATTGTTTATGTCTTTAAAAGAGTCAAGTAAATAAATATAGCCATCTAAGGAACTAAAAACAAGAAACAAACATAGATACCCAAGGAATTCTGCAAATGAATATTTGAAATATTCTACTGTCTAAAAATATAACCATGTGATATAAATGTTTTAGTTTATCACCTTTCTATTATCTGATAGGAGTCTCAAGCATCATACAGGAAGAGATATCTTATGAATTGAGGGTTTAATTACTATAAAATTTTCATTTATATTCACTCTTGGAGTATAATTGCATTCCCATTAAAAATATCTGATTCGAATTTCATTTATTTAACTCTACAAATCCTTTGTGTAAAATAAAAATTACACATATAGGCTTATTGTGAATTTAATGACACAAATTGAATTACCTCATTTTACTCTGTAGAAATTATATATGCCTTAATATTGCCATTTCTCAAGAATAATAAAATTGCAATTAAAACAGTCTTTACTAAAAATTCAAATAGAACTTTTTGGTCAGTATTTATGGTTTAATGTTCTTTGCTAATTAAAAAAGAAAATGAAGAAAATTGAAACCATTTTAAATAGAAACTATTTTCTATTTCAGCTTAAGTATGAGATAGGAGTCACTCTACCTCACAAAGCAGGAGGTCAATGATGTGGAAGACCATGCAGAGTGGGAACTTGGCAGTAAAAAGAGTGAGAAACCACTGGGATGCATACATATGCGCTTCCAGGTTCAGATCAGAAAAGTGGTTGTGCAGGTCCGGCAACTGCTCCTAAAAGTCAAAGTGGAAAATTGAGGGGGAGGAACACTGAAGATGCTTTACTTCCTGCCACAACTGCAATTTACGACAAGCTTGCTATGATCACTCTCAACAGTATTCACTGAATTTTACATGACTACATAGTAGTGACGACAGGGGATGAGAACTGGAGATATGACAGGTAGAGGGAAAGAAAGACTTGTCATGGACAGATAACAAAGATCAACTCTTGCTCACTTGACTGTTCTTGTTTCTTGGGAAATGCTGGCTTCGACGGAACACCTGCAGTCTGATGAATATCATGACTCCAGGGTCAAGTCACAGCACCCCCATTCAGGGTTCAATTCCTAACCAGCCAGGAAAGAAACGTATCTTTTCTCTGGAGAACGTTTAACATCAACATCCTCTGGGTTCTATGACATTACTTCGGTACCTTGTGGTACTGAACCCCAGAACATAACCATTTTCCTAAAAATCTATCTTCAACATATGAAAAATGGTAAAGTACAGAAATTGTGCAGGTATATAATGTAGGCAATTGGGTGTCTCCTAAAAATACCTTTAAGCTGGCTCTGTCTTTCCCCCCAAGTTACACAAGTAAATGCTTTTCAAAAGCACGGAGGGCAAAGTACAAAGCATTAGCAAGTTATTCCCATCACTGAAGGTCAAAGGCAAATGCCCGCTTTAGTCTTGTTTTCATAAACAGACCACAAAAACAAAAACCTACTTCTTGTACAAGATGCTCTTTGAAAAACAACGTGCCCATCAGGTGCTTTAAGTGGGGTGTCCAAATGGTCATTCAGTGAACAGACAAAAAAGTGCTAATAGGAAAATGTGTTTGGGTTTCTTCACAGCACCATGAACTTGCTATTCATTTAGCAGGTAATTTTATTTGACTCTCAAAGCTCTTAGGAATACTGACCTTTGAAAAAAATGTGAACTGTTGTAAATGAAAGGTAAAAAAGTGAAGAATCCCAAATATTTACTTGGAAGAATTAAATCTCTAAAAAAGAGCCTATTGCTTTTTTTTATTTTATTTTATAGAATGGAGGTACTGGGGATTGAACCCAGGACCTCGCGTTTGCTAGGCACGTGCTCTACCACTGAGCTATGCCCTCCCCACAAGCCTACTGCTTTTAATGTCCATAGTTACCAGATTCTTCTACAGTCTTCCCCCACCCCAGTGTCCATCTGTCATTGTGCTTACAGTTCTTCTGACATCCTCCCCACCCCTACTTCTTTACTTCTTCTTCATACTTGACGTTTTCTACTCTTCTGCATTTCATTCTCCCAACAAAGCTGTCCTTAATCTCACTGTAAACTCTCCACCTTCTGCTCCCCTGTTCTAGTCTTTCAGTCTTGGCTTCATTTCCCCTTGGACACAGAGGGATCTCCCCACATGTCAATGAGCTCCTACCAGTAACTTCTATTGCCACACCCCATTGCCCTTCCTCCCCAACCACTTTACCTTTCCCCAGTATGGAATCAATCCATTCATGCATTTTCTTCACATTTCTCTTGGGTTCTCAATACCTCATATAGAGAAAACCATATAAACATGCTGCAGAGGCCCATTATAAATATAAGATTTACAACCTTAGGCAGAATTTCAAAGCTACTCAGTAATTCCTTTTATCAGCATTCAACAATAATTTTGTCTTTGCTCACAATCTTTCTTATGACCTATATAGAAAAGAATGTATATTTCTCATACATATCAATTTATATATTTATATTATAAAATAGTGAATATTGACATCTAGAAATTACATAAGAAAAAATTTAAAGTTATGTCCCTATATTACAATATTTTTGGTGGCTTTTAATTTCATCAATATCTTTCTGTCTCTTCAAAGTGTTCTCTATATGTGGACATAAATATAGTACTGGTGCTAATTAATATTGAGAAAAATCTTAAGGATTTCAGTTTTTATTCTGTGAATATCTTGATTTCTTTACAAATAATACTTAGCATTCTCTTCATTGACTCAACTCATCAAATTCACACTCCAAAGTGTATTAGAGTTGAGTATTTTAAAAGGAAGACTATTTTCATAAATGGTCAAATAGTTAAATAAATATTTTGTGATATTAAGACCATGATAGATATTGGTCAGAAATCAAATCCACTTACATTTTCTGTAACTTTCCACTACATTTTCATAAACCATTGTTGTTCAATTTAATTAGACTTTTCCTGTAACTCAACAAATCCCTAAGTGATAAAAGTTCCTCATATCTATTTACCTGCATTAGTCTCTCCAACTGATAGAATTTGCAGTGAAGATCTTCAAAGTTGTTTTTGTAGAGGTCTCGTAAGCCATAGTCATACATGATTTTCACCAACACACAGAACGCTTGTTCCTCTGGCATCTACAGGAAAACATATACATACAGACCATGACTGCGTGGCATTGACCAGAATGTCAGAAACGTTCTTCCATATTAGTAGCCCCCTGCATTGCTGTCTGAAGGCCACGAGTGAAAGAAATTCTTCAGAGCCAGCCTTTCTGCAGTGACGTAGGTAAAACCTGTGTTCCAAGTTTCCAGCTTCCTCACTTGAGATGAATTTCCCTCTTTTGTTAATTTTAATCATCCTGTCATTCATTCATTCATTAAGCCATCTAAAAGTAGGTAATACAGTCACATGTTTCAAAAATCAAAACAATGTAAAATATAAAGGTAAAATCTCACTCCTCTCTACCCTATATATGCTAATCCCTGTACTGCCCTCGTTTTGCATAACCTCCTAACTACTCTTAATAATTTCTCATGTAGCCTGCCAGTGTTTCTTCATGCAAATAAAAGAATTACACTTCTTATTTTATTTTTTCCCTTTCCTACATAAAAGATAGCATTCTAAATACATTGTTATGCACTTGGCTTTTTCCCTTCAATAATATTCCCAAAAGAGGGATTGCTGGGTCAAAGGAAAAAAAATGTTATGTCTAATTCTGATAGACAGATACCATCCTCCCTGAATCTTCTTGATATTGCTATTTCTCTTTCTATAAAAAAAGTGTTCACATGTTTCAGCAGTTTATGAGCTTCTCTCATTAAGATTTAAATGACAAATAAAATCTAATATACCTTCCCAGAGATATTTTTATCTGAACAGAGAGAATAAAGTCTGAAGTCAAAAGAGCAAATCTCTAAATTGTGGTATCAATAAGCTGAAAGAATTGAGAGGGACATACTCAACATTCTAGAAATTATATCAAGCAAACAGAAAAAGCTGTTGTCCCTACTTAAGATCTTAGGATGTAACTATTATGTAAACATTTACTTTAAATGTCACTTCTTTCAAAGTCTGACCTTGGCTGATTATGGTATTTGACACCTTTGTTAGACTAACTTCCTGCCTGAATAATTGAATCAAGGAGAGGTCTATTTACCCACTTAGAAATGTACTGTTTATTTAAGTTCCTATACAAATTGGCCGCTTCTGTTTTCTACTATAAACCATGAAATTCATAAATCAGTTACATAAAATTTCCTCAAGTTAAATAAGTACAGTTAGCTGCTGTCACTTTGCTTCTCTAAATATTTGCTTATTTCTTTTTTTTTTTTCCTATGAGTTGGGGGCCTTGGCTTTGACCCCAGCTGTTCAAGCTAGCAGATGTTTTTCAGCTTGTACACAGTTATTTAAAATATAAGCACACTGTATTTTTTACCCCTTTAGCAATCTGTCATTGAAGCCTCAAGGGACATGAACTTGCACACATACAGCCTACAATACTTCTCTTATCACCAAATTCTAAGCCTCTTAGTCTTCCTCTCAGATCTCTACTAAAATGGCTATACAAAAAAGCTGCCTGCAAGACAGCTGTAACCAGCCCTAGAGAACCTAATTCCTATAATCGCTCCCTGTTTCTAAGTGAGTGATGATCAGTTAAGTATTTTACCATCTGGTATCTTATAAAAGGGATAATCCTTTATTTCCTTGAATATGGTAAAAATCTTTAAAACAAATAAAAGTTTCAATGCCCTCCAGCATTCATACATGCAGTCAGTGAACATACGAGATGCATGCGCTGTGCTAGGTCCTAGATACAGAAGTCAAGTATAGTGCCTCCCCACAAAGGACAAGTAAACAGGCAACTCTACTTGAGTTTGTGGCGGGTAATGTTGCTGCTAGCATCCTTCAGGACTAGCTTTAGCAATACGGCCAAGGTTTTGATTTTTAGTTAGTTCATGTGTCACATGAAAATAGTAGACTGAACCTATAAAATACCATCTAGCTGGGGTAGAATCAATGCTGACCATCTCTGAAGACTAAGGTCGGCCATAATGAGCTCTTAAGGAATCTCAGATACCATCTAATCATGAAAGTGACTAGAAATGAATCCCCATGCAGACAGAAAAAGATTGCTAACAAAACGAATGAGAAACTACTGGGAAATAGGTATAACCCTTTGGAAAGTGGAAATGCAACCTTCTCTTTGTAGTTTCAAGACTAAATGGGATCTATTTAGCATGTACTGTTAAGTTTTTCTTGGTAGTTCTCTTTCTTCAATTAATGTATTCATTATCTATAGCAGCAACCGGGGTAGCACACAAAAATTTAGCAAAAATGTCAAAGACTTTAAAAATGAAAACAAATATCTAGAAAAAATAAAATGGAGCTAAACAACAAATACTGATTGACACTTGCACTGTAGAGTAAAAAGGAAGTTCACACACTGACTTATAATGGTATTTTGCTTTTGAAGAATAAGACAATGCATATTTAAGAAATATACCTCAGTGAAGTGACAATAACAGGGAGTGAAGGCTGATGATATTTTAAAACATAAGATATACGATAAAAATCTATTTTGAAAATTGTAAACAACAATCACTTACTGGTGGCTACAAATGACTTCAATGATAGAAGAAAAACCTACTGATAACAATAAATTATAACTTTGTTAATGCAAATAAATATAATACTAATAATTCCAACAATAAGCCAGGTAATTGGCTATTATCGTAACTCATCAAAAATAGAAAATAAATTAACTGGAGTTAAGAAATGATGCGCAGCAGCACACTGTTATACTATATTTCCGTCGCACATATAAAACAGATGTAAACAATCTCAAGAGTATAGGGAATAAAATGTGGCAAAATTATCAGTAATTAATTGTCAGTATTAACTACTGTTTTCAATGTAAGCTACTTAATTGTAAGTTTATATCATTTAATTTTTCCCAGCTTCATTGAGAGATAATTGACATATAACATTGTGTAAGTTTAAATGTATGAAGTGATGATTTATTTTCATATATATATATATATATATACACACATTGCAAAATGATTATCACAATAGTTCAGTGAACATATCCATCACCTCACGTACTTATGATTTTTTTTTTTTGTGGTGAGAATTTCTTGTTTTTTTGTAGGTAAGCAATTTTCAAATATACCATACAGTATTGTTAACTATGGTCACCACAGTGTACATTACATCTCCTGAACTTATTAATCTTATAACTGAAAGTTTGTACCTGTCACCACTCACCGATTTCCTACATTCCCCCACCCCTGATAACCACCAATCTACTGTTTTTATTATTTTTGTTTTTTTCAGTTTCCACATATAAGTGAGATCATACATGTCTTTCTCTGACTGATTTACTTCACTTAGTATAATACCCTCAAGCTTCCATCCATGTTGTCAAAAATAACAGGATTTCCTTTTCTATGGCTGAATAATATTCCATTGTATATATATGTGTGTGTATGTATGTATATATGTATGTATATATGTATGTGTGTGTGCGCGCATGCATATATACATATCACATTTTCTTTAACCATCTGTCATTCAATAGACATTTAGGTTGTTTCCATGTCTTGGATATTGTAACTAATGCCATAATAAATATGGGGTGAAGATATTGTTTTGAGTTACTGTTTTTCTTTCCTTTGGATAAGTACCCAGAAGTGGACTTGCTTGATCATCTGGTAGTTCTATTTTTGACTTTTTGAGGAATCTCCATAATGTTTTCCACAGTGACTGCTCCATTTCATATTCTCACCAACAGTACACAGGGGGTTCCTTTTTTCCATATCCTCACCGACACTTGTTAATCCTTGTCTTTTTGATGATAGCTATTCTAGCAGGTATGAGGTAATATTTTGCTGTGGTTTTGATTTGCACTTCACTAAAGATTAGTGATGCTGAGCACGTTTTCATGTACCTGTTGGCCACCTGTATGTCCAGAGGAAAAGTTTTCAACTTTTCACCATCAAATATGATGTCAGCTGTTGGCCTGTCATATATGACCTTCATTATGTTGAGGTACATGCCTTCTATATCCAGTATGCTGAGAGTTCTCACGAATGGATGTTGCATTCTGTCAAATGATTTCCTGCATCCATTGAGATGATCATATGATTTTTATCTTTCATTCTAATTAATGTGACACATCACTTTTGTGATTTGCATATATTGAACCATTCTTGCATCCCAGGCATGAATCCCATTTGATCATGGTTTACTTTTTTTTCCCCTTTTGACCATGGTAGATGATGCTTTTAATGTGTTGTTCAACCCAGTTTGCCAGTATTTTGTTGAGAATCTTTACATCTACATCCATCAGGGATATTGGCTTATAGTTTTCCTTCCTGGTACTATCCTTCTCCGGCTTTGGTATCAGGGTAAAGCCTGCTTTGTAAAATGAGTCTGGGAGTTTTCCCTTCTCTTCGATTTTCTGGAGCAGTTTGAGAAGGATTGGAACTAATTATTTAAATGTTCCGTAGTATGCACCAGGGAACACATCTGGTCTGGGCTTTTATTTGTTGAGGGGGGTTTTGATTCCTGATTCAGTCTCCTTACTTGTTATTGGTCTCTTCAGATTTTCTATAGCATCAGTTGTGTGTTTCTTAAAATTTATTCATTTTCCAGGTTGTCCAATATAATTTTTCGTAGTAGTCTCTTATGACTGTTTGTATTTCTGTGGCATCAGTTGTGATGTCTCCTCTTTTAAAAATTATTTTATTTATTTGGATCCTCTCTCTTTTTTTCTTGGTTAATCTAGCTAAAAGCATGTAACTTTGTTTATCTTTTCAAAAAGCCAACTCTTAGTTCTGTTAATCTTTCCCATTATTTTTCTCTTCTCCATTTTATTTGTCTTCTAGTCTTTATTCTCTTCCTTCTACCAGCTTTGGGTGTAGTTTGTACTACTTTTTCTAGGTCCTTGAGGCATAAAGTTAAGTTGTTCACTTGAGATATTTCTCTTTTCTTGTTGTATGTATTTATCACTTTAAAATTCCCTCTTAGAGCTGCTCTTCCTGTATCCCATACATTTTGATTTGTTGTGTTTCTGTTTTAATTTGTTTCAAAATGTTTTTTTTTTATTTCCCTTCTTTCATCCATTGTATGT